GGCGCCTCCCTCCAGCCACAGCTTTGCACACAGGTCGGGGTGGGCATCTGGGGTCCTGCGCCCAGCCTGGGAGGGGACTGGCTTTTTGGACCCTCAGATGTGTGATCTGCCCAACGGGTCACTCCAAGCTGCCCCCGTGCACGCTCCTCGGCCCTTCTCCGCTCAGCTTCCAGCTGCCTGGGGCGCGGGACCTTCTCAGGACCTGGGGAGTGGGGAGCCCCTGGAGCCCAGCCTGGCCCAGAAGCAGGCACACGCACCCCACCTGGGAGATCAGCTTTCTAAGGCCCAGATGGAGGGTTATTTCTGGGCTGGGGACATGGTTTGCATGCTTCCCTGGGAGAGTAAATGTCACAAAAGGCCACTGGGCAGTGTGTACCCACCAATGTGCTGGTGCTGCCTTCCGCCGACAGTCCCCCCCGCCCCCGGGGCGCTCCTCCTATCCTGGGTCTAGACTGGGCAGCGGGCAGCGGCAGGGTTTGCCCTGGAACATCAGCCAGCCTGAGCCTGGGCAGGCCCTCCTCCCTCCCCATGGCAGGCCGGGTTGCTGAGGCCATTTCGCTCTTAGACACCTCTGCCCCTTTCCCACATCCCCGGATGTTCCCACAGCCCTGCTGGGGAGAATCTTTCCCCCAAACCTAGAGCCCCCCCTTTCCGCTCTCCTACCCCCTTCCCTGCTTGCCCACCATCCCCCCACTTGCAAATCAAAACCTCCCTGAGAAACCTCACTTTGAGGACGGGCTGGTGTGGGGATGGGGCAGGGGCCCCGCAGGCTGGGGGGTAGCTGAGAGACAGCGGTTTCTGGACACCCCTGGGTCTGCAGGGGTCCCTGTGTCTCAGATGCAGACTGGGCCACCAGGGGGCGATGCCAGGCCACAGGTCTGTGGGCGGGTTTGCAGGATGAGGAGGGACTTCCTTGGTTGGGGCGCCCCTGTGTACCTCTCAGCTGTCCCCTGGGCCACTGCTCAGCCCTTGGCTTCAGAAACACGCTGTGTTGCTCAATGAAGCCCAGGAGCCCTCGAGCCCTCAGCACTGCAGTCTGGGTGCTGGACACCTTCTCTTGGGTTTCCCAGAACTGGCACCTTCAGCCCTGGCCTGGCTGGAAACAGTGCAGGCCTGAAAGTGGACCTCTGACTCAGCGGGGGGAAGGCTGTGTCTGATTCGTCATCACCCTGACTGCTGGCGGCCCCTGGGGGTCCAGTCACCCAACAGAGGTGTCCATGGACAGCAGCTACTGCTATGAATCACATAGGAAGCCCTTGAAAAACACCCCCACACACATACACCCACCATATCAGAACCCCCAGACCTTTGGACCAGGGTCCCCTGAAGGGCAGGCCAGGATGCGGTGTTGGGGGGGGGGTCTTACTTCCACATTCCTTTGCCTTCCACACCGAACCTGGGCTCAGATGGTCCAGGCCCAGAGGCCCTTGTCTTCAATCAAGTCCTGTCCCAGGTTCCCTGTGTACCCAGGTGCAGCAGTGCCCCCCCGGGGGCTGTGCCAGGTCAAGGGGGGTCTGAAGAAAAGGGGAAGGGGTGGAGCCAGGACCAGCTATGAAAGCTGAGGGGCAGGCAGCTGATTGGAAGGGGACAGGAGGAAGCTGTAAGGCCTCGGAGCAGGTGGAGTATTTATACTATAGAATTTGCAAATCTTACACATCACGCTTCCCTACAGAGCACACGCCCAGCCGGTGGGGACAGACTGAGGCGGCCGGCAGCAGGCGGCAGGCTGTGGCACTGAACAAGCCCTAGACCTCAGGACCACCCTCCTTCCTGACACCTGCACCAGGAGGCGGACTCTCCTGTCCAGTGAGGTGGGTGGACAAGGCCACGGCTGATCTGGGGTTATACTTTTGGTGCCAGGATCGGCTGGAGGGACGGGGGCTGAAGACGGAAGGGGAGGGCAGATCTCCAGCTGGATGTCTGGCCCCAGGTTCGAAGTCACTGTGGTAAACTAGCCACATTCCTGGGGTTTAAAAGGGGGAAGTCAGCTCCGGGTTGGGGGTGGGCAGTGGATGTGGCCAGCTCCCTCCTGGCCTCGGCAGCCTGGGGGCTGGATGGAAGCCCATCCCAGTCCACCCTGCCCTCGCCAGAGGGGTTAAACTCCAGCAGCGGACAGGTATCTGGGTTCTTCCTTGAATGTCATGGAGGCCTTCAGCCTCTCCCCAAGCGCAGGTGAGGGCAGAGGTGGGGCTGTCAGGGAGCCGCCAAGAGCTGAGCTCCTGCTGGGGACCGAGGCTGAAGGGGCCCAGGCCCGGTGCCAGCCCTCGGGTGTGCCTGTCCTCACACTGCTGGGCTGTGGCTGGACGAACACCTGAGCCTGGCTTTCTCTTTCTTAGGGACAAGGAACCAGCCCTCCTGGCCATGGGAGGGGCCGTGGTGGATGAAGGCCCGACGGGTGTTAAGGCCCCGGATGGGGGCTGGGGCTGGGCCGTCCTCCTGGGCTGCTTTGTCATCTCGGGCTTCTCCTACGCCTTCCCCAAGGCGGTCAGCGTCTTCTTCAAGGAGCTCATGCGTGAGTTTGGTATCGGCTACAGCGACACGGCCTGGATCTCCTCCATCCTGCTGGCCATGCTGTATGGGACAGGTGAGGGGTTGTCTTGCCCCTGGGGGGGGGGGCGGCCAGGTCTGTCTGGGACCCGTCGGAGCAGCCGTATCTGGCCAGCTGTGCAGTCCCAGAGCATGAGGTTGGGCCCTTCTTTACAAATGGTTGGTTCTCGATGCCTGCAGACCACCAGCGAGGAGACCCCTAACACAGGGCCCTCCTGTGTGTAGGCTATGGTTTCCTTAGGAAGGTGTCCGGATGTGACTGCACCCCGGGCAGCTGGTGCTCCTGGTGTCTGCTCAGCTGGGGGCACTGGGGAGGGGTGGGCTTGCCACTCAGCACTGTCCCCCCAGGCCCGCTCTGCAGTGTGTGTGTGAATCGTTTCGGCTGCCGGCCAGTCATGCTGGTGGGCGGCCTCCTGGCGTCCCTGGGCATGGTGGCTGCGTCCTTCTGTGGGAGCATCATCCAGCTGTACCTCTCCACGGGAGTCCTTACTGGTGAGTGGGGCAGGGCGAGGTGGGCCATCCGCTCCTCAGTGGCCGGTTGGCGGTGGTTCAGGTCCGTGGAGGAGAAGTCCCCTGTCATCCCCACCCCGGGCGCCTGCCTGTCCCTTCTCCCCATTTGTCTCTCCGGCCCGTCGGTGACAGGAGCTCTGTGCACACACGGGGTCTCCTCACGTGGACACCCATCAGACTTACAGGAAGGACCATTTTGGGGGAAGCTGTGCCTGGGACAAAGGGGGCAGGGTGGGGCTGGGCCAACGGGTAGGGCCAGCAGTTCACCGGCCTGCTCCCCCTCCAGGCTTGGGTCTGGCGCTCAACTTCCAGCCCTCACTCATCATGCTCAACCGTTACTTTAACAAGCGGCGCCCCATGGCCAATGGGCTGGCGGCGGCAGGCAGCCCCGTGTTCCTGTGCGCGCTGTCCCCGCTGGGGCAGCTGCTACAGGACCAATTCGGCTGGCGGGGCGGCTTCCTCATCCTGGGCGGCCTGCTGCTCAACTGCTGCGTGTGCGCTGCGCTCATGAGGCCCCTGGAGGCGCCCCAGGCAGGGGCGGGGGCAGGGCCCGGGCCCCAGAGGCCGTCCAAGCGGCTGCTGGACCTGAGCGTCTTCAGGGACCGTGGCTTCATCACCTACGCGGCGGCGGCCTCCATCATGGTGCTGGGGCTGTTCGTGCCGCCCGTGTTCGTGGTGAGCTACGCCAAGGACATGGGCGTGCCGGATGCCCGGGCCGCCTTCCTGCTGACTGTGCTGGGCTTCGTGGACATCTTCGCCCGGCCGGCCGCCGGCTTTATCACGGGGCTCCCCCGGGTGCGGCCCTACTCCCTCTACCTCTTCAGCTTCGCCATGTTCTTCAACGGGTTCACCGACCTCACGGGCTCCACAGCCGCCGACTACAGCGGCCTGGTGGTCTTCTGCATCTTCTTCGGCATCTCCTACGGCATGGTGGGGGCCCTGCAGTTTGAGGTGCTCATGGCGATCGTGGGCACCCACAAGTTCTCCAGCGCCATTGGCCTGGTGCTGCTGCTGGAAGCCATCGCCGTGCTCATCGGGCCCCCGTCCGGAGGTGAGGCTGCGGCCGGCAGGGAGCCCTGGCCAGACGCCCCACTTCCAGCATCTGCCCATCCCAGGGAGGGGGACTCATTGTGGGACGTTTTTGGGGTTTTTTAATTCTCATCTGAAAATATTTTTCCCATTGGTGTTTAGAGAGTGGGAGGGAGGGAGGGGGTGAGAGCGAGAAACATCGATGTGAGAGACACATCAACTGGTTGCCTCCCACATGCGCCCGCACCGGGGCTGGGGTTTGAACCTGCAATTCAGGTACCTGCTTCGACCATGAATTGAACTCGCCAGGGCTGAGGGCCGATGAGCTCACCACTGAGCAAACCTGCCAGGGCTGTGGGATGGCTCTCAGCGGGAGGAAGCCCTACGCCCCACCTGGTCTAGCTAGGCCACCCAGTCCTCCAGCGCACAGTCAGCAGGTGTCAGGAAGGAACGGGACCCGCTGGGTCCACTGTGGGATATGTGGAGACTCAGTGGGAACCTGGCCGAGCTGACGCTGTCCCCTCTCCAGGCAGGCTCCTGGATGCCACGCATGTCTACCAGTTCGTGTTCATCCTGGCGGGGGCCGAGGTGCTGGCTGCCTCCCTGGTGCTGCTGCTGGGCAACTTCTTCTGTACTGGGAAGAGGCCTGCGGGAGCCGCCAAGGAGGAGGAGTGCCACAAGCCCCCTGCGGAGGACAGGGACAGGGTGGACTCAAGGGAGGTGGAGCACTTCCTGAAGGCGGAGCCTGAGAAAAAAGGGGAGGTCGCTCACACCCCAGAAACGAGTGTCTGACCACGGGTGCAGGGAACCGGATGGAAGCTGTCAAGGCTCATATTTATTTCACAAACAGGACTAGCTCAGGCGGGACCCATCGCCCGGCAGGGGATCATCACCTGATCAGTTTTTCAGGGGAGGTGGCGGGTGGGAACCGTGTCATTCCAAAGCAGATCTGTGGTGAAGCCAAGCTCGAGGTTACAAGCCGCCGGCAGCAGGCACCTGGCCTGCTGACCCCAGGACAGCCCGCTGCCCACAGCTGGGCTCAAGGACCTAGAAACCCAGGCTCCGGAGACTTTAATCAGAGGGTGGGGTGGGGACAGCCGTGGGCCAGGCCCTCCCTCGTGCCTGCCTGCACCCACCATACCCACCTCCACCCCAGTGCCCCAGCCCACCCTGTCTCGAGTGTCTGGGGGACAGAGACCCCTTCCCTTCCCTCTGGAAGGCCTGAGTAAACCTGTGTGTAGGAGGAGCTGAGTCTGATTTAAGGCAGGGGTGACTCTGCCGTTCACCCCACACCTCTCTTTCAGCAAACCACCGAGGGGGTCTGGTCCATCAGCTTTCTAAGTGCTGCTGGTGGAGGGCCCTACGGCCACACCCGGGAGCCCCTCGGAGGTGTGTGCTCACTGGTGTGTGCTTAAAGAAAGTACCTTCCTGCCTCCCGTGTTCACCCCCCGGTTGGCTGACGGTGGCCCTGTGGCCAGTGCCCGGGGCTGGCATCTCCCTGCCCTCCTTGCCCAGCCCTGCTGGCCTTGCCCAGTACCTCACACCCACCTGCCCTCATGGCCAGTGGCACCTGCGTGGCTGGGAACCCGATCGGAGGCTGCTGGGGCCGCCTGCCTCAGTAGGTGGTGCGTCGAGGGCGCTGGGGACGGCAGCGGGTGCCCTGGCGAGCGCCCTGGCGGGCCGAGTGCAGCCGGAGAGACGCCACGTCCCTGCTCCTCTGCAACGAAAAGCAAGCGAGGGCTCACCTCTGGGGTTCAGTCACCAAGACACAGCCCCTGGAGCTCTGCGCAGGAGCCAGGCACCTGCCTGCAGTCCTTCCTGGTCTGTCGCCTCAGCAGGCAGTTATGGGTCAAGGTGCAGCCCTGCACCTGCTGACCGGTCCCATGTAAGGTTGGCCAAGCTGGGGCTCTGGGCAAAGTGGAGACACCAGCCCCCACCTGTCAGGTCTCTAAGGGCCAGCTCCAACTGTGGCCCGGAGGCCTGTGGTCTCGGCAGCCGCCTGCCTGAACTGGAGGTGGGCCGCTAGCTCTCTGGGCTGTGCACACCCATGCCCTTCTCTCCTGATGGGAGCTCAGCCTGGCTGCTACAGGTGAGAGTTACCTGGGGTTGCTGCTCAGGGACTGAGTGCCCCCCATGGGTGTCTCCCCTTCCTGTTGCCCTGCAGCAGCAGAGAGTAGGTCGCAGCGTCCTGTCCTGTGTGTGTGCCCCCCCTCCCCC